TCTCTCTCTCTCTCTCTCTCTCTCTCTCTCTCTCTCTCTCTCTCTCTGCTTCCTGACAGGAGCTGCTCCCCTTTGCCCCCGGTCGAGCCCTTTCTGCCTTGGAACTGGACTGACTCATGAGCCCAAAGGAATCTCTCTGCCTTGAAATTGTGGGTGTTGGATATTTTGTCCCAGCAACAAGGAAAATGACTGAGACACCTTCCCAAGCCTTGAGCGAGTTGGGCCTCTGCTTCTCCATCTGTCAGTGGGGCTCCTACGTGCGTCTACCTCACAGCGGCTTGGAGGAAGGTGAACCTATCTATACCGGCTCAGTACCAACTGTTGCACTAACCTAGGGCCTGGCAGGAGGCAGATGGCTCCTTTAAACCCCTGAGGAGTGCTTACCAAAGGGGGCATTTACAGAGATGTGGGCAGGGCTGAGGGAGGCTGCAGGGGATGATGCAGAGCCCCAGGCTGGCCACGCTGAGGCAGTGACCACTGCTGGGCCCAGAATAGGAGGGAAAGGGTTACAGGGACCCAGAGTCAGCTGTGGGAATGCGGAAATGAAATGTGTGCCCTAACCTCTGGAGCTGCCTCCTCCCCTCCCCCCACGGGTGCCTCGCTTTGAGCAGTGCCACCCAGAGGAGGCCTTAGAGCCTGGGGGACACAAACAGCATCTCTGGAGGCACAGCCCAGGGCACGAGAGGGCCCAGGGTAGATTTGGAGGAGCAAAGAGAAGATTCCAGCTCCCTATCCTAGGGTCTGAGCTGATTAAATATTGTCATTAGGATCGCTGATGCTTCCTGCAGGCTGGTAACGTCTGGCCTCAGGATCCAGCTGTACTGTCCCTAGAGCAGCAGGTGGCCTAGGGGCCAGGACCGGGTCCCAGCTGGGCTGTCAGGCTTCTCAGGCGGGTGTCCATGTGTGCTGGAGGATGGGGAGGGGGCTGGCTTCTGACTGCACATTTCCGTGAGCAGCCAACGGGGCTAGCATGTGTGACGAGCCATCGAGCCATCGAGATGGCTTTGCCGGAGCTGGCTTCATTAAAATGGAAGCGCATTGCTCCAGCATGCAGATGGGGCTACTTTATTACTTTTTAATTTGTTTACAGAAAGCCCTTGTTTGGTGAACACCATCTTTGCAAATAGTAACAAATGGGCATGTTGCTCGCCTCCAAAGCTGTGATGTCCCCGGGTAAATAGGCTGAAACCGTGTTTGAACGCTGTGCCCAGTTCCTCGTAATAGAATCTGACACGCTTTTCAAACTGTGCAGGATGCAGAAGAGAGGGAGCTGGGGTGTGTGGGGGTTGTAGAACGTGGCTGTGCGGGGCTTTCACCCCTCTCCGAACTCACTTTTTCCATCTACACAGCCAGGGACCAGGGCTGGATGGCCTTCTCAGCCCTGGTGTCTTTCAACGTCCACAACTTCATGGTTTCTCTATCTTTACCGCCCTGCGAGCTGCAGCCCTCCCTCAGCTACCGACTTCCTAGCTCCCAGAGGCAGTCCTCTTCACTGAAATGAAATAAAACCCACAAATTACCAAATGCGTGTTGAAAATGGGTCAAACTGAATGAAGAACACTTAATGGAGTGTAAACTACTCAACTGACAGTTCAAATACTTATCCCGGAGCCCCCAAAAGGAATGATGTTCGCAAATTGGTCAGGAACCTCAAATCTCAGCTTTGCTCCGTATGAGGCATGTCATGGTATTTAGCCTCGGTGCCTCACTTTCCTCATCCACAAAGTGGGATCAAAAGAAGCCCCTTGGGTGGGGTGTGGCCTGGTGGTAAACCACTGGACTGGTACGTGTGCGACCCTGAGTTCACTCCCCAGGGCTGCTGCTGCTGCTGCTGGTACCCTTGTCCTAGCGTTGTTGCGGACCTTAGCTTCTTTGTAATGTGCAGAAGAGGAGGCTGCCCCAGCTGGAGCTTAGCAGATGCTAACTCCCGTCAGTGGTCAGTGTGGCGGCAGTGACGTTTCCATTTCAGACAATACATGTTGACCACCAGTCACAGAGAGTCACCCATTCAGCGGAGGCGGTCCTGACCGCCAAGGAGGTGCCCCCTCGACCCATCCCAACCACACTCCCTGGGATATTTTCCTCAAAGCACTTGCCACATCTAAGACCCGTCTTCTGCTGCAACTTCCTATTTGCAGTCAGGCTCCTATGGGCTCCCGAGGGCAGGGACCCGCTGCCTCAGCCATGTGTCCCGAGCCCCTTAGACCAGCATCTCCCTGGTCTCCACATACACCCAGAGGTCAAAGGAAAGAATGTGCACACTGGCCAGACATGAGGTGAACTCTGGGAGTGAAGCCCCAGGCCCAGCACACTGGGACCCTCTGGGTGCCCTCTCTGGGCACCTGGGATGAGGTGACAGGGTGAGGATGATGTAGCCTTTGGGGTGACTTTACAGTTTATGCATTTCCTGGGAGCCTTCACCCCACATGATAATCTTGGGGTTTTTTTGTTGTTGTGTTGTTTTTGCGGAACTGGGGATTGAACTCAGGCCCTTGTGCTTGCCAGGGAAGCACTTATTCTACTGAGCCATCTCCCCGGCCCTACATGATAATCTTGTGAGCAAAGGAAAGCGCCCTCCCTCTAGGTGGTCACTTCCCTGCTTCAATAAAATAGAGAGTCCACTCTCCGGAGAAGTGTCCCAAGACACTTGTTTTGATGGTCACAGTTGAAAACACTGGGCGCCTCCTCAGTTTGCACTCCCTGGACCAGGCACAAAGCCCTGCAGGTCCCAAAGACCGGACGCCACGTCTTCACCCGCTATGCAGGCGAGGAGGCTGAGGCACAGAGACGAGGAGGAGCACATCCGGGGTTCAGGGCTGGATTCAAGCTAAGATTCAGTCTCAGGTTGTGGGGCTTTTGATCTCTACCTTTCTCTCTGCTGTCTCTCCCTGGGGGGAGAAAAAAAAATTCACAGGACGATTTAAAGTAAAATGATTGAGTATGGGTAGCAGTCCACTTGATGGCCAAGGCTTTAAATTCCAAAGCCCTTCTTTAGCAGTGAAAGATCGTGAGTCCTGGGATAGGATCATCAGTGAGCTGACAGAGACAGGTGTCCCTTCAGCTGGTGGGCACAAGAGGAAGTGCTCTAAAGCCCTGAGTCGCAGCACAGGTATAGTACTCCCATCTTGCCTCTGTTCTCCTCTTACATATCAAACACCTGAAGCCCAGAGAGGTTAGGCGGCTTTTCATAGGTCACACAGCAAGTGGTCGGGAAACCTAACCTACTGGGTTCAGTTAATGTTTAATACTGCATCTGCTAAAGCGGTGAGTTACATTCTCTGCACTGAAAGCCAGAGAGGAAACCAGGAGCCAACTCATTAACCAGCTCAGGGGCTGGAACCAGCTCCACCCACGCCCAGTCAGAGCTCGGGCTATTTTCTGCCTGAGTGCAGCTGCCGTCCTGGGGTAGTCACTTAAAGGTTTTAGCCCCAGCTTCTCCTCAGGAGAGGAAAAGGGAAAGGGCAGACGCCTACTGATCCTTTTGTCTGGGGGCAGATGAAACCCTTTCACCTCTCAGAAACTTCCTAATAACCCTCTCTCTTCCAGTAATTCTAGGAAAATGAAAATCGACTCCCACCACCTCTCCCTCCTGTCACCCATTAAGCTAAAGGCTGGGGAGAGGGCCAAGGCAGGGCCTGCCCTTTGTGTGCCTGCTCCAGGCTCCTCCGCGCCTCATCCTCCTCCTTCTCCTCCTCTCAGCCCAAGAAATTGCTGTGCCACTCAGTGATGTCACAGGCCAGGGTGGGGAGGAGGACACCTCCCACAGGGGGACCCCAAGACAGCAGCAGTGTCCAGCCAGGTGACCCTACTGGTGGACAGCAGAGACAGGGCTAGGAGCCCCTTAGAGGCCTTCGTTGGAGGTTTTCCAGTGTGGGGACAGCGGCTTATTGCAACTAATTTCCTTCCCCTTGCTGGAACTGAAAACCCACAGGGTTTTAGCAGCATATTTGTGTATCTGGCACTCTCTGCTCCCCTCCCCTTGGGAGCCATAAGAGATGCCAAGGAAAGGCACAACACGGCCTTCCATAATTTCAAAGTCAGTTCCAGAGTTAATAATAAATTAGGAGCTGGGGGCAGGGAGGAGGACTGGCTGTGGTGGCGCAGTCTATGTGGGGAACCCAGCCCTTGGGGAACCGTACCTAGGAGTCAGAGAAGAGCAGGAACCTGGGGCCTAGGACAGGTGGTGGCTTCCCAAGGTGGAAGACTGTCTCCCAGGCCTTGGGTCCATGGTACCAAAGCTTGAGGGTGTCCCCTATCCAGGGTGTTGGGGATGGGGCGGGGTGAATGGAAGAATGTTCTCCCGTGTGCCTCCCTCTGAGACGAGCAAGTGGACACTAGGGAAGGATGCCTCCGCCGAGCCTCCATATGACCCCCACTCTCTGAGGGTGGGCTGAGGGCTGCTTGAGAGACCCCTGGAAGCCTGGAGTGACCCCTGGCCTCTAAAATGGTTGCCACACCGGTAGCCACAGTTGAAAATCCAACAGTCCCAAATGCTTGTCTTTTTTTTTTTTTTGGTTTTCCAGATGGGGAGCTCCCTAAAGACCAGGGCCTCTGCTGTCAGACTGGAAACTCAATTAATTCCTGTCAGAGCAGAGCTCATGAGGAGACTGAAGAGCAGCACAAGGCACCCGCACCGTTAGCCCAAGAAAATGGGGGGGGGGGCAAGCTGGCCTCCCTGAGCTCTCTAAAGGGCCGTCCCACGGGCACAGGATTCACTCCTGCTATGCACCGCCCCTAAGGAGAAGAGCTAAGATTAATGAAAGGTGAAACAGGAGACTTGCTTTGGGTTCCAGCAAAGGGTGGACTTACCTACAGAGCAGGTTGGTGAGGTCATGAGCCTTCTACTACAAGAAGCGGAGCTTCTGAGGAGGGGACCGAGGCACAAGGTGGCCATTCAGATCGCTTCCGAGCCCACGGGTCAGTGGTGATGGATGGATCTGCCTGGCCCATCCACCCCATGCCTCAAGCCACCCCTCCTGATAACCCCGGAGGGTGGCACTGAACACATTAATCAGGCCAACAGCCACAGACAGTGGCTGGTAGGGGTCTCTGCCTGCCCTCTCCGTGGCCTGGAAGACAGTCCCCTTGACTAGCAGGTGGACAGACAAATAGGAAAATCAATCTTCCTGATCACCAGGGTAGCGTCTGTCCTTACCACTGTGGAAGAGCGAGGCCTTAGCTGCCCGGCACTCACTCAGTCATCACAAGGGAGCTGGCAGACAGCAGAGCAGGGAAGGGACTCGCCCAAGGTCACACGACCAGGGAAGGGCAGGGGCCCAGCAGAGACCCAGCGCTCCAAGCCTATCCTTTCTCCCCGCCCTTGGCTGGCCCCACAGCAGCAGCAATCCATCCAAGTCATACACTCATCGCAGGCAGGTCCTCAGGTGGACAGAGATAATATACACGTTCTTTGCCAGCCCAGAAAGAGCAGGCATAGTGAGTCGTGCTGTTTCCACATTTCTCCCACCATGTGGGGTGGAATAGGAGTCACTCTTCCCCTGCCCCTGCCCCAGCACTTCCTTCTGGGAGCCCTTCAGGACTTTGAACCCCAGACACCTCCTCCTTCCAGCTGCTTCTGCTGAGTTGATAAACTTCTCCTCTGCCGGACACTGAAGATTCAGTGTGGCCTCCACCGGGGGAATTTATACTTTAAGTCAGTCTCTGCTAGAGAGAGAACTTCATCCAGAGCACAGAGTCCCACTTGAGGGCTTTCAGGAGGATGAGGATGTTGTTGTTGGGGGGAGGGGAGATGTCAGAGATGCCTGCCTGCTCCTCACTGCTCCTCTGGGGACAGGAAAGGAGGGCTGGGGCTGGAGTGGGGACACTGTCCAAGAGGCAGGTAGACAAGGACCCCTGCACACATCTGAGGAGCTAGGAGCAGATTAGGACGGCCTCAGCCACATGCCCTGCGGCAAGGTATTACCCCTCGCTGCACTTCAGGAAGTCCTCTGTGCCAAGAATCCACATCTGGGCTGTCGGACCCAGCTCCATGCAGACCACCCTCCTTCACCCACCCATCTCACCAGGCCTGAGACCAGGTGGGGTGACCCCTATGGGTGTCCAATGATGGTCTCTGGTTTCCTCAGTCCCGGGAGCAAGTTGGGCAGGGCGGATTCTCTATTGGGACTCTAGGGCCAGGGAGATGGCTCAGTGGAATATTGGGATTCTAGGAGAACCAACAGGGCAGGCGCTGGTTCACTGGCTCAGAGTAGTGCTGAGGCCCCTGCTCCTCCCCTGAGGCCCCTCCTCCATCCCAGGGCAATTTCCCCAGAAGTGTGCTCACGCTGGGCCCTCCGAGCCTCAGTGCCAATTGACTGGATTTCAATCAGAAATCCATCTCCCTTAAGGACCACTTTGGATAAAAGCAGAAGTAACCTGCAATCTAGATGCTGACGTCAGGCCACAGATAGGAGACCAGGGAGAGAGGCTGACTGCTCCACCGAGACCCCCAGCCAGGGTGAGATGGGGACTCCACTGAGACAGGCCTGGGCAAAAGGGGATGTGTGC